TTTACTCTTTTCTTTATTAAAGGGACATTGTGTAGTATTCTAAGTATGGTAGAGAGAAGCATTTAAGTCCCAAACAGGGTTTTCTTGCATCCATCTTTGTCCTTTTTTTTACTCTTTTATTTATTAAAGGGAGATTGGGTAGTATTCTAAGTATTTTATTAGCTAAAATCATGTTCTTCATTTCTAAATGTTCCTCATTTGGTGTAAAATGACGTCTGAAATTATCTGACTTCTCTTCATAAGAGAAGAATTTCCTGTATATACAGTACACAAGACGGGTAAACAAAGAGGTTTCCATGGCGATCCGCCATTTTGATAAAGGGACATAAAGCACTAGGCCTCCTGTCTAGCTAATCCACTTTTTCCTGCAGAGTCACGTGACTGAAATTTCTTTTAATTAGTTATTTTTTTATTGCTTAAATTAATTAATTAAATTTTTTCATTTTTTTTTATTACAAACCTCAGAGAAAACTCCATGATGTGGAAGTCATGCTGTCATTGCTTTTTGATGCCTGACGGCTAACGTAGCTGCAATACCCATTTGGAAACAAAGAAATATAATACAAATAATAAACACAAATAAAAATGGGCCTAAAAGAAAGCATCAACCAAGATAATCTATCAAAGGATAAGAAACAAGAACAGACCTCCTGAAAGGAGAAAGGAGACCAAGAAAAACAATAAATAAACCTAAACTAATTAACCAACCTACAAACTATAACCACCAGACACATTTAAACACTAAAAAATCCTGAAACCAACATCTCATTCAAACAGTGGACCTTTAGGAGTTCTTCTTAAAGCTTCTCCAGAGTCAAGCCCTCCATTTCCAGCCACCTGATTGGTCCCCGCACTTCCTGGTGTCACATCGTATTTGCTCCCCCAGCTAGTTCCTTCCACCTCGGCAAAAGAAATAAACAATTATTAATCTACACAGACTTGGGCTGTCCACTAAATGTGTGCGATCATATTATCCAACATCCTAAAATAATAATAATAATCCAGAAAAAAAAGCGAAATAAAACAAATTTTAAATAGTAACACGGTAGAGGAGCTGACCAGTGACACCTGCAGCCGGTCATCAGGATGGAAAGGAGCCATGAACTTGGAGGTGACCGTGTGGTTTCCATTAGCTGACCGGGGGGGGGGGGGGGGCTCACTAGATTTTACGACTG